AAACTACTAAGTAGTAATGAAGCCTTAATGATTTAAATTCAAAAGAGACCATAATTCATAACTTGGCAGATCTCTAAAGGTTTTAAGGATAATTTTCTTGAACAAAGCATAATAAGTTCAATTGCTCTTCAAAATATCCAAAACTGTTCAGAGCATAGCCCTAAACAACTCTTAAGAATCCTTTAAACTATCTCGAGTTAATTTAAACTTATTATGTTATTGAATAGATCATCGTGAGGTTTGTTAGGTTTAAACTGTGCTCAGTTCATGTCTCAATTAACCCATGGAACAAGCATGTTTGAGCTGTAGTGTTTGAGGGAGATTAATTATGGTTCCGCTTCCAACTAATCCTCGGGTATCCTTAGATTGATCTTAACTCACTACAAAGCTCAAAAGGCACCAGGGGTAGATAGGTAATTTTGAAGAAAAGTAAAATTAATCATATCTAATTAAAAGATTAACCTATGATTCAACCATTGGTTTGGGTTTTCTAGATTGGTTTGTTATTGACTTGCTAACTTATGTCCTAACATTTAAATCATTCAAATCAATTTCATTCTAGATTGGTGTGTAAATTGGTTTCTGCCTCTTACCCTCATATCTTAATCACTTTAGGATGTTACTTAGGATTAAAATATAGCCTTTTAAGCTTTTAACCCATCCAAAATTTTAATTAGGTGGTGAAAGGTTGGAAATTACAATTTCTCCCCTAAGGCTCCTATCTTCATAAAAATTTTAAATCAATTCACATGAACATGGGAATTTGCTGACCTATCTCTCATGGGTTAATTGAGATACCAGAAAAGGAATCATATTTTTCCAATCTTTATTTTAATTTATATAATTATTTTAATCCAAAAATAGGAATTTACAAAGTTAATTCATTTAATCAATCAAAATAAAGTTTTTGTCCTTGAGAAAATTATTGGAGGATCACCTAGGTCAGATGACAACTTTGAATTTTTCAATTATATTTTAACTTTCATAATCATTTGTTTGTTTTGAATATTAATTACATAAAAAATATTTTTTTAAAAAAAATCAATTATATATTTTTGACTAATCTTTCTGACTTTAAGGAACTCAGAAAAAATCATTTTGTATTTTTTTATATTTATTTTTTTATAATTATTTTAGTGAAAGATTAGAAAAATACATTTTTAGGCATTTAAAAATACATATATGTATTTATAAAATTATGAAAAATATTCTAATTGATCCCAAATTGTCAGGAAACAATTAAGAACATTTTGGTCCATTTTTGTAATTTTATGATTTTTTTTGAATTTTTTATTTTTAAATTGAAAAATAGCCCAAAAATGAACTATTTATTTTAATGTCATTTTTATTTCTGTCTGGTGCTCCCTGGTCACAAGGAACACTCCAAACCACTTTTCAATTTTTTTGAAATCCACTTTTTAATTTTTTTGGAATTATATTTTAATTATTATAATTATTTTAATGCTAAAATTTCATTTTCCTTGAAAAATAGACTTTAGTGGTTAGATTAATTTAAAATGGTTTCAAATTTTTAGAGAGGGTTAATATGTTCAATATCTTTATTAAGGATCAATTTTTATAATTTTTAAGGTATATTTTATTTTTTATATTTTATTTATTTTTAATTTTTATGGGTTTTAATGACTTAAATTAAGAAATTATATTAAAAAGATATTTAAACTTAAATTTTATTTTTCTGATGTTCCTTTGACCACAGTGAACTTACCAAAACAAATTTCATAATTTTTCGACTTTAATTTTAATTTATATAATTATTTTAAGCAAATACATGACTTAACTTTGGAAATTAGGGTTCACCAGGCTAGAAGTGTTCTTTGAATTGGGAAAAATCAGAGAATACTCCAAGACAAAGAGAGAGTAAACCCTCAAATTTTCATACCATGGTGATTAATATTTAATTTTCTATGATTTAAACAATATTTAGAGTATTTAATTAACTTAAAAATAAATACAAGTTAAATAATTTTCATTTTTGGTCAACGTGATTCTCCTCTTATAAAATTCTCCTCTGTTCAGTGGCACATGGGTATTTTTATTTTATTTTTATGATTTTTGTACATCAAGTTATAAATTTTCTAATTTTTTGAATTAATTTAAATAAAAAATAGGCTATTTGTTTATTTATCCACGTCGGCGCCACGTCCCCCCTCGACAGCTCCGAATGACTACACGACACACTCCCATTCGACGCCGCCTTCCGCGTCAGCACTGACTCGGTTCACGCTTTATGTCTATCGCCTCGTTCCGACGCCATCTGATGCCTCCTCAGCCATTGATTCAATACACGTGTGAATGGACGACATCGGTTCATCGTCCCCAAGTGACTTAACCCGAGAACCGTCCAAACTAAAATGTTTCGATCTCGCTCGATACTTAACCAAATCACTCACGGTTTGTTCCTATAGTTTCATCTAATCGAGACAAACACATCCATGAGGTTAAATATATATGAAAAGCAAGTTCACTTCACATTTGGTGAAACCAAGAGCATTTTTAGGGTTAGTGAGCTATACATCTGCCTAAGAGGTGAGGCCTCGATTGAGTTAATTGCAGATGTTCATTGTAACTTCAAGAAGCTCCTCCAAGCATCAATTTGAGCTGAGGTTGAGCCTAGGCAAAAGTTCAATCAAGGGGTGATTCAGACTTAGTGCTCGCGAGAGAGGGGTTTTGATGGGGAACTTCCTTGTTTGGTCTGGGGAAGCTTTTGGAATGATTAATTTGAAGTTTGGTAGAGTTTGGTAGGGTGACAGAAAAGGCTCTGGATTTCAAGCTTGAAATTAGGGTTAGGGAGTGGTGAAGATGGCTGGAATTTAATTGGGATGAGCTTAGGAAGGTCTGCGGAAGCTGAGAGCAATTTGAAGGGATCTCCCTAGCAATTGGCAGCACTCTTTTCATATTCGTGAGAGGGTTGGTTTAAATAGAGGAGGAATTAGGGCTTAATTGGCCAAGCCAGGGGGTGAAGGAAGCTTAGATGGAGAGCTGAACGACACAATTCACCAATGAGAGTGAGCCACATTGGATGGGTGAAATTTCCCTTCTCGGTTTTGGGTTTTCTAACGACTAGGCTGGCCGACTAGGCCAAGGGAGGTGGCTAGCTGGTTCAGAGAAGGTTATTGAAGTTTTAATTGTGATAAGCTTGGGGCTTGGTGGGCTAGTTGCATGGGTTAGTGAGATTAACCAAGCTAGGAGAGGAATGACCTTAATTTTGAGGACCCTTGGCCCATGGCTCCAAAATGGGGCCCTCGGTGATTTGATTAGCATCCTAGGAGGCTAAGCATGGTAGGAAAGGATTAAGCTTGGGTTAATTCCAATGGCTTACGTTAATTTGGATTTTAGGCTCAAAATTGGGGTTTGGGCTAAAAATTGGATTTGGGCTTGACTTGGGCTTGGTTTAAAAATTGCTCAAAGTGTCTAATTGATCAAAACGGATGTCATGAAGAATTTAGGAACTGGGATTGGATGAATTGAGTTAATTGAAGGCTTCAATTCAATGGAATTTTGGCTTAAGGACAAGTTGGGGGAACTTGGTTTGAACTTCGATTTAGGCTAGGCAAGGTCTAGTGTTTGGGTCTAAACCAATTGAGGGTTCAAATTGATCTAGAGGGATGTTATGAAGGGTTTAAAATTCAAAATTGGGAGAATTGGATTGGTCATGAGGTTCAATTTGATGGAATTTGGAGGTATGGTTAAATTGGGGAATTTGGCTCAAAATTGAAATCAAGGGTTTAAAGGTTGGCTTAAATGGGCTCTAAATTGGTGCAAATTAGGATTGGGCATGTTAATAAATGATTTAGTATTGAAATTGGGTGAAATTGAAATGAATTGAGTGGAAATTGGTATTAGTTTGGGGAATTTGAGTCTTTAGGGGCAAAATTGGGATCTTGGTCGAAATTGATCAATTTGGTCAAATTGGGCCCAATAGATGGTTAGGATGGGTTTAGGGAAGGTTTGACATGATTTTGGGAATTTTTAGGATGTGAAAAGCATTTTGGTAATTTTGGAAAATTTATGGGTATTTTGAAAATTTTGGGGTGTTTTTGTCAATTCAGATGATTTAGAATGGTTTGACATGATTTTTGGGTAAAAAAATTACTATTTGAGTCATTTCTGGAATTTTAGGGTTCCAGGAGCAGTTTGGAAATTTTAAAAAAGTTTGGAGCTAAAAGACCAAAATTGGTTATTTGGGTAGGATTGAAATCTATTGAAGGTACAAATCACAAGATTACCCTATTAGAGCAATGGGACCAAGGGGAAGCTTACTTTGGATCCTTTATGTGTGGGTCTTAGCCACCCTAGCCAAGGGCTAAGAGCTTGGGGACCACCCACATGAGTTTCCAAAGGAGCAAAAGGGAATAAGTTCAATGGGTGTGATTTTGGGGTCATAGGACAAGGGGAGAGTTGTGATGTGCTTAAGTATGTGGAAGACAAAGCCCTAATCACCCAAGGCTGCCCTAAGTCCAAATAGTCTTATGGGCACTCATCCTTTGAACCCTTACATGTCGGTCTCAACCTTCCAAGTGCGGAAAGTTTATTTTTCATCCATGTGGGTTTCAAAGAGAGTAAAGAAGTGGTTTGAATTTCTATGTAGGTGGGTTCCATCTCTAGTCTTCTATGATAGTCAAAAAGAAAGTTCTATGGCTAGATCCTAAGCACTAAGAGGAAGAAAAAACCTCACCAAAATTGAGGTCAACATCTAATTTATGCCCAAAAATAGGGATTAAGCTTTTCCTCTGTAGTTTTATCATAAATCTAAGAGATGGGACAAAAAAAACTCAATGTTTACTCAAAGAGTTTTTTCAATGGAATCGGAAATCTATGATATTTGGAAGATATCTTGTGGAATGTAATGTACGGTTGGTCATCACAAAAATCGCATTCTATAAATCCGCAAGAATCAATGGAAGGCAGTAGAAGGTTTTTCCTCACAAATAAACTTCACAAGAATCAATGGAAGGGAAACAATTTATCTTTAACACACCTACCTCATATAACATTATGTAATGTTAATTTGTGAAAATATCCAAATACATATCATTTGCACAGTAATATGTACATAAATGGCTAAGCACATAGTAAATAATAGAATAAATCTATAAAAACATCTCTCAATATTCAGAATATGTTGTCATCATATAAGGTGCTTTCACGTCTTGAATCAGCATAGCCATTTTTTACAGCTTCCATATTGAACCATTCATTTATATTTCTTCTCTTTAATAGGACCTCGTGGAATTCTATTAAGAACATTGGTATCAATTTTATGAAAAAGTATTTTGAGGTCACGGCTACCCTTCAATGCCAAATGATCCACTTCTCTTTCATAGCGCTCATACAAGGCAGGAAGTATCTGAATACCAAGATAACCTGCCAAGTAGAAGTGACTATTCACTATTCTTACCTTTGAACTTAGTAAAATTCATGCTCGGATTAGCATATTAAAGAGGAATAACATTACCCAAGTACAGTAGGTTTAAGGAGCTGAAAAAGCTTCCTACTACTGATATCACCCAAAGAGAAGAGATTGCCTTGCAGAAAAAATAAGTAATAATGATGAAAAATCATCATAAAAAGAGAAATGATCAAAGAGGTAGTTAGGAACATATAACATATACCAGAAGGAAAAGTCTAATATCCCTCCCCATTGCCACGTTTTGGAAAATGACTAAGAACCGACTCAGCCTAGCATGGAAATAGTTTGCAAACTCTCTGAAAGTCCTCTCTGATAAAATGATTTCTGGGATGTTCGGTGGGTTCCTGCGGGAAGATTTTATTCAGCAAAATTATTTTAACAATGATACACTATGAGTTGAATTATTGATTAAATATAGATACATGTTGATGGGAACATAGAATCATCTCATTTCTGTCATTGCATTTTTCCCTATTAATGCCCTCGCTTTAAATAATGATGTGACAGTTTTTTTTCTAATGTGAAAAAAATAGTGTGATAGTGCATGTCTTACTGGCAATGCTGAGTTTGGAAGACATTAATGTGTGAAGTCTTATCCATGTATTGTAGAGATGCAAATTCAAAATATCATACTTGTGGCTTATAGATCATAATAAGGATATAAAAGCTTGAACTCGTATCAATCAAAATATTATCTGTTTTAAGGAACACATCTCATGATTTGTCCAGTAGTTCAATGGATGATACTGGATTTTGCTATAATGTTAGTGTCAAAAAAATATATGGTTGTAGATAGGGGTGGGATTGTGGGCAGATTGGTAGGTGTGAGTTTTGTGGCTATGTGTGCATGTGGTACTTTCTGTGAAGGTCACCCTCCTATAAGTAGCCCTATATGAATAATTTTGATTTTCAAGTTTTCTCAAAATTTCAAACTTAATAATAAGAATGTCTCAATATTTAAGAATTATGCTTTACTATACAAAATGGATTTTAAAAGCTATATTGCTCAATGAAAATATGTTTTAATGATTATTTTATAGAGAACTTAGAATAGTATTAAGCAAATACAACTCTAGAGGTAGCTCCCTTAGCATAGCATTTTATTGCATGAGTCATTTAATCTCTTCCCTCTAACTAGTGTATCGTTGTAATACCATTTTCATAGTATATATCCATATTCATCAAGATATTATTCAGTTTTAATATTGTTAGTTATATTGTTTTAGTGAAACTTCACAAGAAGGCCACCAATCATATGGGTAATTTGGCATAAGAAAATTTAACATTAGAATTCCTTATTTACCAAAGAAAGAATATTGAGATAAGACTAAGACTGCTACAGGAAGGCTAGTTAACTAAGCGAAATGATAAGACCCCATAAGTTCTTTGATATAAATCTCATAATATCAAATATTTTTTGTATAATGATTGATGTTTTGTTAGAACCATAAAAAATTAAGCATGTTTATATTTGAGCACTTGCAAGATATGTGGTCTTTCTAGAAGTTTACAGCTAGAGAGTAAAAATATAAGTATTGCCATGACTAAAAAATGATACTTCCATGAATAAGAATTTGTGTTGTAATTGAGATAGATTAAAATGTATTCAAGGCCCAGGCCTAAACTCTATGATCCAAAATTAAGCACATCTTAAGCTTAGTACAAGTACAACAACTAAGAAAAAAAGAAAAACTATGTATGAAAAACTTAAAAGCATAATGTACTGAGAATAAAGGAACCGAAACTAAAGCAAACATCAAACTATATTAAAAAAGCTTATACATGTGAACAAAATAAGAAAATTATTCTCATACTAAGTGTGGAACTATTTTCAAGGTTGATCGTTCCTTAGTGATGAACATTCATGTCATATGCAAAAGATTCATTTCAAAAGCACAAAAGTAATATAAAATGTTTGGTAATTATCATTTTTTGCTTTGGAAGAAGACTATACAGCCTTAAAAAGCTTCCAAAGTGTATTAAGGAAATACTAGGCCAAACCAATAAGGACGTTCAGTTTCTTATTCATTGAAAACATATTTTCAAAATTACGATTTCATTTTCAATCTCTTTATGTGAAATTGAAACCATGACATTAGTCTTCGTTTCAAGATAATTTATCGAGCTTCAAGTCAACATTAACTTTGAACTAATCTCAATTAATGTTCGAACTAAAAAAATTTATAATTTTCTAAAACATACTTTCTAAATCAAGCAATTGAATGGGACATAAATTTAAAAGTAACTTCGATACTTATTCTTTGATTTTGCCAATATGGAAACATGGAGCATGATATTCTTTTATAGAGGTAAAGATATGTTTTGAGCCCACTATACCATGTTAAATTACTATATAGAAAGAATATTGTTTAAAGAGCTCCATGTATACAATGCATCAAAAATTTCAAAACATATATTCAAAATAACAAAGCAATATATAGCAACACTAAAAAACATTACCTTTCTCAAGGAAATTTTGACCGTCTTAGAATTTACACACAAATGTCCCTTTTATTATCATTTCAGTGTTTCAAAAGTGTATAATGCAATATTTTATTGTGTGAAAGATCTGATGTCACATTTCTTATAAAAGTATATGATTTGGGTTAATTAACCAAAGAGTCAGATATCAAACAATGATATGTTAACAAGGCCTCATTTTACTATGCTTTTGGTAAGGCAATGTTTTATTTGTTTCATTTTGAGTTCTTTCGAGTCTTTTTTTATTTCAGTATAGAATGTTCACTTAGGAATTTGAGATTGTTTTACCAAAATATTACTTTAAGAAAAAAATATTTGAGAAAGTGATCAGAATAAGGACTTTCACATGGATAAAACCCAAAATGAAATATTTTTCAGTTATTAAAGAAAACATTCTCAATCATATAAAGTCTAAAAACAAGAATAACATCAATGCTAAATATTTTGTTAAATATTTGATTGAGAAAATACCGATCAAGCAGAGCAGCTCCATTAGACCAAATGAAAATCAGAAGCATCGCAGCAATTAAAAGTTGGCAGAGGAGAGTAAGAAAATGATACTCCACAACTTCGAACAAAAACCAGGTCACAGTGACTCCAATAAGAATGGGCCCAGATAAATGCTTGTTTCTCCATAGCACAATATCAGCAACTAGAGAAACAAATTAGAATTCATATTCATGCAATTCAAAAAGAATATTTCTTTATTAGCAGAAGCTGGATATATTTATATATTAGAAAATTGAGTAATTTTATAATAAAAGGAAGTTTCAATATCATTTAAATTAGTCAGGATTTCATTATGTTGTCAAAGATGCCTGAAATTTTTCTAGAGTTTTCTACTATATAGAATTAAGCAAGTAGAGTAACATATAGATTTGATAGCATATAAAATTGTTGGCAGCCTCTTCCAGAATTGTGCTTTTAGGCCAGTTGGATATTAGATTTAAAAAGATTACCAAAGCTACAATTCTCCAGTATAAGTTTCAATAACTCTAAACTTATCATCAATATATAGCATATATAATCTCAGCATCAAATTGTTGTTTTTACATTACAATAAGAAAATCATGAAAAAAAAATAAAGTTTATTTTCAAATGAATTTGGTTAGATTTAGTAGTAGTTTCAAGTAAATTTATATATTACCAAACAAACAAGTATGTCTATATATGAATGTAGGTGTGCACGTGGCATATGTGAAGTAAAGTTTAAGCTAAGTTAGAAATTTCAAGCTACTTATTTTGGATTTGGAGCGAACTACTTTTGATTTCAAGTCTAAGAAAGGTTCAAGTAACTATTTAGAAGGTTTTGAAGTTCCACAGATTATTATCAGCTGCTTTCGTATCGTAATTTTAATTATCCTTTTGATTTCAGCATGAAATATGTAATGTATTTTCAACTTCAAGTTTCAATTAATTTCACTTTCATCTTCATTATTGATGTGTCATCAAGAAATTTTTATCACCTAACATGAATCTCGAGGTATTTTTTAGCAATAAATGTTTTAGATTTAAATTCAAGATCAAATAAAGCCCTAATTTTAACAAGTTTATAGTCAAACTAACCGTCTTGACAAGATGAACATAATGATACCAAAATTGGTTCGATCTGGGTCCAATCTTAGCCCAAATCAATCCATTGAAGCACAATTAAAAGTTTTCAATCGTGAAGTGAATTGTCAGAACGACTCCAAATTTGACATTTATAATCAAATCAAACAACTCAACCAGAGAAATTCAACGAGTCTATACTCGTTGAATTCTGATGTCATTAAGGCACCCAAATTGTTAAAAAAACTCATATGATCAATGGGGGTCAATATGCAATGTTCAATCAAGTGGTTGGGTAAGTTATTTGCCAAAAGATCAAAATGCTCAACTCTCAGAGGCTATAATTAACCCCCTCTCTTTTAATTGAAAGGGAGGACTAGAAGTGATTACCCAGTGATAACTTCTGACTTTTGTAGCCACTGTCCACAGTCGACTACTATTTAACCACCGTCAACCACTGTTTGTCGCCGTTGCTTGTCATCGTCGACCACCTACCATTGACAACTCTTGGTTGCAAATGTTGTATCTCAAAAACATATGTAACAAATTGAATACACAACAATAACTTTCAGACTCTATAGCAGCCGACCACCATCGACCACCGTCGGTCGTCACTATTTGTTGTCACCAACTGTTGATCATTGGTGACAACTGCTTATGGCTGTCATAGCCAGAATATAGTGGCCTAACACCTATATTTTTTTCCATGTTTTATAAAGACAAAAGTAATGATCAGTAAAAGAATGCAGCCCATTCTCCCTAAGAGAAGGGGTCCAGGCACAACTTACAGCCTCTGTGGCCAATTTATGTTCTTGTTGTTACTAATTATGACCTATGTGACTAACTGATAACATTGCAATTTCAAGTACAATTTCTGTGGCAAATTGAAAAGATTATGGTTGCCAATTATAGTCTCGGTGGCCAATCATCATTATTACAACCACTAACGATGGACTTTGTGACCAAATGCTACTTTCATAGTTTTTGACTACTACATCAGTGACCGACTGCTATTCTTGCAGCCACCGACTATAGCCTTTGTGATCAGCTACTACTGTCATAGTTTCTAATTAAACTACTACTGTCACATTTTTCAACTACAGTCTCGTTGGTCGACAGTTGCTCGTGCAGCCACCAATTATGACTTTTGTGGTCAAATAATATTATCACGGCTTCCAACTATAACCTCTATGGCCTATTTTTGCTATTACACCCACTGACTATAGCCTTTGTCGCCAACTTTTACTATCACAGCTTCCAACTATGACTTGTGTAGTCAACTGCAGCTATTGAAGCCACTAACTATGATCTTTGTGACCAAAAACTACTATTAAAATTTACAAATATAACCTCAGTGGTTGACTATTGTTCTTTTAACCACTGGTTACAGCCTTTGTGACAAACTATTACTATCACGATTTTCAACTATAGCCTCTATAGCCAATGGTCACTATTGCGACCACCAACTACAACCTGTGTAGCTAACTGCTATTGTTAGAGCTTGTAACTACAACCACTATGGTCAACAAACGCTATTATATACACAAATTACTGCCATTTGTGGCAACTCCTATTGCTAAGTCTCTAGCTATGGCCTCTAAAGCCAGCTGCCACTATTGCAGCCACTGACTACAGTCATTATGACCAACTACTATTTTTGTAGCAACCACCAATGACCTTTGTGGCTAACTACTGCAATTACAGCCAAGAACCAGATTTATTGTAGCCCAATTATAGCTATTATAGCTAAACTACATTTGACATTAACAACTTTGTAATTTCAACTTCTCTAATTCAGTAGGGCAGTGGGACATATGTACTTACATTACACTGTAGATTGTTTTGACTAGGAGGGCTTCGTGATTTTTTCCCTTTCTAAGTTTTTTTCCACATAAAAACTATGGTGTCTCCTCCTACTATATTACATTTATCTTTGTGTGATTGATCTTCAAACAATGCTAAAATGTTAAAATATCATTCTACCACCTTGAATTTTTTGAAACGTAGAAATTATAAATTTGAGTAATTTATGTGTAAATTTATAGCAAATAAGCTTCAAATAATCATTGAAAATATTTTTTAACATTAACTTTTTTGGAGTTAAATAAGAAAAAACGTTTATAATTTAATTAAAAGAAAAATACCTGCAAATAAATGTTTTATCTTATAAATTTCATTATTTTCAAAACCTTTATTACCCAAAAATTTTGAAGTAAATATGTATCAAGTAAGTATCATTATAATAAACAGTATGCTGCTGAAAAAATTAATCTTTAGAAAAGATTAGAAAATAAAATATCTTCTATATGCTTAAATAACAATATATTATTAAATTTTATTATCCTACATTATCTAGCACTCAACAATTGGCATTTGGTTAAATAGCAAATATATTATTTTTTATTAGGTGAACATATGATGCAAGAAAGATGGTTCATTTGTTTTCAACTATTCAAAATTGAAGGAGAATGAAAGGAGTAATGCATGGGAGACATCGCAGGAGGAGGTAGAGAATGATGTTGATAAGTGAGTTTTGTAGTAGTTTAGCTGGAATGGGAGATATTTGTTGGGTGGTGCAATCAATGGAAGGTTGTATGGGTTAGAGACATTGGAGGCATGGATTTCTCTATGACACATGTAGGTGTGAAAGAAGGAAAGTTTAAAAATACAATAAATGCACATGAAGGAAAGAGAGGCTGGGAAGGCAATAACCAATAAAGGAGAGCACTAATTACAATAAGATTTTGGACAATTGTTGTAGGACTTCGGGTAGGCAAAGGTTGGGAAATGGATGAAGAAGCACCATTTATGCCTAATTAATGACAAGAGTAAAGGCATGTATTTTGCTTTATCATGAAAGTAAGCCATTCAGGTAAGGTAGTCTTCAATTAATTTAATTTCCTCGACAATTTTGAGAAACTAGAATATAGAATTTTCACCACAAACTTTTAATGTTTGAATGTCTTTGAAGAATGAAACATGATAATGATAGCAAATTACATACATCCCTAGTGAACTTAGCCCAAGCATCACGAGATGATGTGGAGGATATTACAAAAGTAATGACTAATTTAGATGGGCAAGTAAACATGGAGTAAGAAAAAGTTAGTCTTCTTGTGGCCAAGGGGCATATGCAGAGTTAAAAGGGTTTTAACGCATAAAAATTGATGACAATAAGAGGTTATGGGATGATTGATGTAGGGATTAAACCTAAGCTTTAAATGAAGTGTAAATATTGGGAGTGAACTATATTTTAATTTGGGTGGCGAGATTGGGGAAGACCAGTAGAGGGAGATTATGGTGAGGGTGATATTAGTTAGATTGACACCTTCAGCCATATGAAAGGGAAGATGGCCTACTCGTTGAAGTATGGATAAATTTAACTTGTAATTTGTACCAAATTGAATGATTGTAAGTACAATATTATAAATTATATGACCAAAGGTAGTATAGAGATTTGATTAGTACAATCTTAAAAAGATAAAACATTAAGAAATTCGTGAATGATGTGATTACATGGTGGTAACTACACTGAGAGTAATACGCATTGATGATGAAGAAATATTAAATGTTTGGTGTCAAAGTAATCTTAGAATTCCCTATGTATGTAATTCAGAACATCGATTATCTAATGGGTTGTTTCCAATGAGCCCTCACAAAAGCCCATTTTCAAATCTGACTTGAAAATGGCAAATGCATATCATACTAACCAATTGAAAATATGAATTGAAATTATTATTTTTAGAATTGAACGGACATTGAACCGAGGGAACGAAAATTTTGTTTAATTGTTCAATCAAAATCTAACCAAAACATGATAATTTAAATGTTATCAAATGTAATTAAGAATATTTAAATAATGTAATATTTTGAAAAATGATGATAAGTAATAACAATGTGTGGGTGTGTGTGTGTGTTAAAAGGTAAAACACATATACATGGAACAAGTTCTAATGATATTGCCTTTTATCATCATCTCTACAATGCAATTTCTACTAAAATTAATTCAACCTCTCTGAATTTAAGACTTGGGTGACTCAATCAAAAGTTTTTATATGTTAGTTCCAACAAATCAAATTTTGAAATACTATTAAACCAATG